AGGAGAAGTTACTAGTTGCTTTTAAAGTAAACCTGTCGGTTAGAGGGTCTGTTTTAAGTTGGTGAAACTGAAAATCATAAACTTGAGGCTTCACCCAGAACAAAATATAAGCAAAGCCTGTGAGAACTTCCTTCTGGGATTAGTGAGCGTGGTTAATTTTACTTTTCCACTGGCATTTGCAAAAGTATGCAATTGTTCATTTTCTCCTCAAGGAGCAAGAATCTCTTGCAACTTCCATATTTTAACATAATATTTTTTGTATTGTTGCACATGGCTTTACTTTGTAAGTGCTCTCTCTATGTCAAACTGGTATTGGATTTCGCTGTGTCTTTTCTTTACATATGGGAAGGATGGGATTTTTTTGGGTGGTTCCTGCTTCAAGTTAGTTCTTGGATATGGGCTAACTGCATTTTGGTGAATGTTACGGTACTAAAAGCTTTCTGAAAAGAAAGCAATGTTGTGGTGTACCTGACCTTGTAACTTTTTCCAGGGCTCCACAAGTCCTGTCCCCTCCAGGGAGGAGAAAGTTTCCTCTCCACCTATTACACTGCTGAACTTTGGGCTTTGGGATGTGCATCTTTGTAGAGACGCAGTTGTTATGGTACTTTTGGGATCAGAACTCCAGTTTCGAGTGTAGGTGTGGTGTGTTTTTACTCTCTACTTGTTTTTGAAGTAAGTACTTTGACAAATGATTTATATTTTTTTGTTCACAGTTTTCAGGAACTTATCTGCTGCGTTCTTGGTCTCAACTTTGTAGTCTTAAAAGGCCTTCTCCCTCTTGAGTAATTATATTGGCTAAGATAATCCTTAGATGTTTTTTATTAGAGCTTATTCTTTCAACCTCCCTATTTAGAGTTATTTTTGTAACCTTTTCTTTGTATACTTAATGACCAGGGCAACAAAAGAGAGATTAACTGCCTTGACAAGGAACAGAAAATCCTCTCTTTTTACCAGAGTTGTCCTGTTTTTATGGCTTTCTTCAATTTAGGATGCAATTCCTTTTCCTAAATGAAATTTTCTTATTAGGCCAGTTTTGAAATGAAGATCTTTTAAACACAAGAAAGATGTTTCTTGTCATATATCTCTTAGTTAGTAAATGCATTTGTTCTTTGAAACCTGTCAGCTTCTTTCTAGCTGTGCATACTATAACTTTACTTGTGACCATCCAGTGTTGGAGAACCTTGTTGAGGAAGTCATCGTGGTTATTCTCACAGGATCTGGGAGCAATACGAGTAGGATTGAACAGAAGAGGGGCTCTTTTCTTCTCTTGAAGAAATCTCATACATGCCTAATCTCTCCCTTTGAGGAGTAAATGCGTTTGTGTGTTAACAGTCTCTTTTAAAAAAGCAATTTAGTCAAATACTCTAAACACTTTATCAGTATAAACCAAATCTTTTTCACTGTCATTTTTCTCTCACAAGAGCTTGTGCTTTGAACTTGGATTTGTTTTCTGTATTTGTGATGAAATTTGAAATCAGGCTTTTTACGTTTCCCTCTCAACTTGTTAGCATAGCCGGTTGTGCTCCAGCCGTGTGCTGTGGACGTGAATTTATGCCTTAACTCTTGCTCCCTCTGCAGGCTCTGTAGCAGAATGACACGAAATGCTGCAACTTTTCCATAAACCGTTGTTTGCATTGCTTATCTGGGTGTCTATGTCCGTCCCATTTTTAAAATCAGAACACTTTCTTATAGTACCTTTATAGTTCTTTGGGGTGAGAGATAACATCTTGAAGGTTTTCTGTTTATCAGTTGGCATCTCCTTTATCTTTTTCCTAATCTTGTATGTAGTATTGTTAACAGTAATTCAGATTTTCCTTGTTCGCACCTGTAACTGTTCAAATGTTCTCATCTTAAAGTATTTTACAACCTTTGCTGACAACTAGCAGGAAAGACAGAAGCAAGCTTATTTCTTATGAACAAAACTGATCTGAGGTATGAGTTTTAGCTGAGGAGATGCAAAATGTGCCAAAACATTAACATACAACATATATTCCATTCTGTTCTTCTTCAGAAACTTGTCTGGGCTACAGTGGTCTTTTTTAGAGCAAATGTGCACATCTGAATTTTGGGGTCTTTAAGGGCAGTACATCACTGGTCACTAGAAAGCTGAGGAGTGAGCATTATTGTGCACCTTAAGCCCGTATGAAAGGATACAGTCTTATAGGTAGGGACCTATAATATATTTTTCTCTTCTTAGTACGTGTTTCACAAGTTCCCAAAAGACACATTGGGGATGGTAGTTGATGATTGCGGTCTAAAAGGAAAAGGTGAGGTGGGCAAGCATCCATTCTTTCCTCCTGCTCCAACTGTGAGACTGTACTTTAATCTGAAAAAGCTTAGAGACATTAGTGGATAAGAAGATTTTTGGCTTTGTTTTCTTATTGTTTGGTTCCTTTTGTTCAGTTTACCATTTAATAAACATGGAGCGGAAATGACTAAGATAATCTGCCTTTGATTGCGCTTTGCATATTAGCTGTGGAAATTGCCAGCTTCATGGTAGTTGCGCCAATTTGGGAAGTACTCAGAGTTCGGACTTGGACTGTGGAATGTGCAGCAGAGGTTATGTGGCAGATATTTTTATATTTGCATATAGTACAGGAATCAGTCATTTTCTGGACTTATTGTACCATTTCACAGTTGCTGGTCCATGGTGTTTCAGAAGTTCTGTAATTGTCTCTGCCCCATCCGGCTGCTATTTTCAATTGTTATCATGTATTTCATAAGTTTATCCTATATTTCTCATGTGTGTATGTGTATGTATCTGTATTTATGCCTTTCTCATATACATAGGGAAGAGTAGTTAAAAGTGAAGTTTATATGGGCTAAACTGAACTATTTTAGGAATAAAAGGGCTTTAGAAAGCTAATGTCTGACAATGAAAAAAATTGTGAAGTGGTGGATTGTTGTCATTTAGATGTTGTTCTATTACCTGATGACTCTTCTCCACCCGGGGAGGGGAATCAGGAAAAGGAAGGGAGACCCCTGGATTGAGATGGAAACAGCTTTAATGAAATAATAATAATTAAAAACTCCCAGTATTAATAGCAATATTAATGTGAAGTACACAAGGTTATACTTAGCCAATATAGTGGATGAGTAGGCCTTGGGAGCAGAATGATGGGTGATACCCTCCATTGATGGAGACCATCGAGGATAGAGGGACATCCCTAGCAAACTCCTCAGTTTATAATGAGCGTGACGTTTATGATATGGAATAAGTCTGTTGGCCAGCTTGGGTCAGCTGCCCTGGCTTTCGCATCCTTTCTGCACCTGGTTAACTCAAAAACCACTAAAGACTTTGATCATGCCACACCAGTGCTGACTGAAAACTAAAACGAGTGTCTTATCACCATTGTTCCCATGAAATTGAGTATTGTAGTCTTTGCAGAAATGTGGCTTTTCTGAATAGAAAACTGATTCTATGTTTCTATCCCAGTGCAACCAGGACATAGATGAATGAGACAGAGTTTGCATCCAATCTGTATTTGGAACCAAAAGACCTGTGTGGGTTTATGATTGGATTGGGGAAGGCAACTAGTACGTTATCCTAAGTCTAGCAGTTAGAGGAGAAACTTGAATTACTTCCCATATTTTTAGAGTCCCTGACTTCCAAATAGGATTGAGGTTTTTAATAAGGAGAAATTGATAAGTGTTTGGGTTTTTTGCATATTTCTGCTATCATACAGAGTCTCTTTTTATTAAGAGTTAATATTATGGTTTAATATTGACTACTTTTCAGTCTTTCCTGCAGTTTCTTGAATGACACCATGTCTAGATTTTTATAGAAGTGGGGCCTATGCAGGAAGCTCTGCAGATGAATTATTACCAGGACTAAATTTTAAGAAGTGGGATCTTCTGCAGTGCATCACAAGCTTGGCCCTCTTCCTTACCTCTGCTTGAAGTGGTGATGACATATGACCAGCCACATAAAAAGCTGTTTTTTTAGTTAGCTGTCGTAACTCTCTAACTGTTTTGGTTTGAGCAGTATGTCCTTCAGGAACTGAAGAAAGCAAGCAATCTATTGAGGAAGATTACTTAGTGCTCATGTTAGCTTTCTGGTACAAATACTAAGGTCTTCACCCACAGAGACTGCTCATGCTGTGCTTTTAGGGACTGATACCTATGAAAGGTTTCTGCCACTAATGGGAGGTGGTTTACTAATCGGTGTTTCAACCTCTCTAAGCCTGTGTGAAGTAAAAATAAAATGGGTTTTACAGTTCCATGCTTTTATTTTTTCTTGCACGTATTTGGAGAACTTGTTTGTAGTGACTTGTGAAATACTGATACAATACTGCTGTATATGGTGTGATTGTAGAATTCCTTTTTATCGTGTTTACTAAAAGGAAAAGTGTGGTATTTTATCATAGGCTTCCTATTAATTACTGTGAATGAAACAGCTTTGTGTAATGCTTTTGTGCTTGGAGTGTAACCACTGAGGAATGATTAGCAAGAAGGAAATTGGCCCTAAGATGACGTCTTTTTTTAATTTTGTGAAATAAGAGCTATTTTTTCTTGTGTAATCAGAAGACTTTAGTAATACTTAGTCAACACCTTTCTCTCAGCCCTCAAGCAGTTGCATTTAACTGGTGTAGCAGGATTCAGATATTACTTAACCATAAAAGACTGGCACATTTTCAAATCTACATTGTCTAATCTTCAAGTAAGTGAAGTTAGTTAATTGTGTTCAGAGTTGAGAATTATGCAGTATGACTAATGTGGTGCATTTTTGTAATCACTGTAAATCTAAGCCATACTAATAATGTTGTTAAACCTACTACACTACCAATTGTACCTTATGTTTTTCTAGAATTTAAGACTTGTAAAATCAAATCCTGTTTAACTTGCTTTCTGAGTGTCTGATGTAGTCAACTTATATTAATTGTGTGCTGCCTGCATGGGGAAGAGATAGTAAAGATTCTCTTCTGCTTGATTTCCTTATAGTTTCTGTTTTAGAAATTGCTATTTTGGCATTTAAAGGTGACGTTTTCCTCTTTTTTCAGTTTCTAAGGGAAGATATGCAATACAAGGATGCTTCTAATAAACACAGTCACCTGCACAGAGAAGATAAACACATTACCATTGAGGATCTGTGGAAACGCTGGAAAACGTCCGAAGGTAGCTAAAGAAGATTAGCTAAAAATGGTGGTGATTATTGAACTAAACATAATTCAGCATTTTTTCTACGAAGTCATTTATAGTAGTAAATGGATGACCTGTTTTAAAGTATCTTCATGAATCTGTTTTGGTACTGTTACTTATGTAAATGTAATATGTAAATGTGACTAAAAACTCATTTGAGTCCAGCTAGTGTTAATTTCCTTTTGAAATGCAGGGTGTATTGTAAGTAAACTAAGCTAGCTTACACACTGATCAGTGTGAGGTTGCAATGTATGAAGGTGACTGTTGAAAGTGCTGAATTCCAGACAAGCATGTTTTTAATTTAGTAAGCCCAAAGGGCTGCTGTCAAGCTGTTTTTAAACATTTATTATATTTGGAAAATCCAGTGTGCTTCCACTTCAATGTAAACATTCTTTGGGCTATGAAGAGCTAGAATTCGTAGTCCAAAGCATTTTGGAAAAATCTTTTTAAACTTGGGGTACAGGAAAATGTACTGATAAGCCAACACCACCATCCCTCCCTGACTTTGATTTGAGTGAAATAAGCCAGTTGAGCCAAATCCTCCAAATATCAAAAGACACTACTTAATGAGCAGTACAGTGTTCATTGCTAAGTATGTTCCAGAACATAGTGATTAAAAAAAGAAATCTCCAGAGGTCTGGAATGTTACAGTTGTTAGACGAAAAGTACTTATTTCTTCCCCCAGGCCCCCACTGTGAAGAAGGTGCTGTGCTAATGGTGAGCAGACAAAGATCTAAAAGTTGGTATTAGTGAAACAATTAAAAGTAGAAGCAAAAGAGGAATGAAACTAGGAACGCACTATTGGTTCATTATGCTGGTGTAGGTAGTTATTTAAGTGCAGTCTGAGGTAATACATTGGCTAAGTATTTGCTGTGTAGTAAATATCTATGTTTTAATCAGCGAATTTTTAGCCTCATCGCTTCAAATATTCTCTAAATGCTTATTCAGTGAAGATCTTGTTCAATGAAAATATTGCAACTAAATTATCAGAGAAAATTAACTACATATAATTGTTCCTCTAACTTATGAGTAACTCTTCAAAAATTTAGACTATAATGATATCAGAATTATCTAATTTGTCTATTATGTATATCTTTGTTCCAGCTTTCTTGAATGTGGTCATCATTGTGAGTAAGACTCAAAAGATTTTGAGAGGGATGTCCGCTCTTATTGCGACTGCTCATAATGGCTTAAATGTGCATCCTGTTGAGGAAACTGAAGTTGCACCACAGGGAGGCCCTTAGAATGAGACTGTCAAGCAGTGTTAACAGTGATCTGGTGGCTGTTAAAAGGCATGAAGCCTCTCAAATAAGAAACTACTTTAATATTAGGAAATATGGAAAATACTGCTTTTCCTTTCTATATGTTTTAGGAATTTTGATGTCTTTGTTTCTTATGTGCTGCTAGTTTATAGTGCCAGTTTAGTGCAATTTGACAGCATTAAACAAGAGGGTGGAGGGTAGTGTAAATGATGGTTTCAGTAATTTGAAACTTTGTTAACTAGTCTGTTGAGGTATCTGTGTGAGAATTGCAAGCTCTAAATAGTGCCCTTGACAGTGCCTTTTAGTGCTTATGCAGAAATGTCTTCTGGATCTGTTGCTGCTGAGTTTATGCTGAGTAGATTTGCCCATTCCTTCCCATGAAGCTTGCTTTATGTGGATGTTTGTCTTAATTATTTGTCAAATAGCTTAAAGTTGCTTTCTGTTTAAGACATTGATGATGTGAGATAAGATCTGAGGGAAGAAAGTGAAAACACTATTTATCGTTATAGTAAGTGCACCATTGCTGTTTGACGTATCCTTTTAGGATTAAGAAAAATAAAGGTCAGTTTTAAGTAATTGCTTGAGAAGGAACTTATGCAGTGAATGGAACCCTAAGGATTGGCTCCATTCAGAGTTTTAAAAATTGCCTAATAAAAAATACAAAATCCAGCTTCAGAATATTGCTTTTTACTATTTCTGTAACTGGGCAGGCTTTTGATATCTCCGCCAGCTGCAGAATCCTAAAGGCATGGTGTGTACTGGTGCAAATTAAAGGAATTTCAAGGCTGCTATAGGTTTTACCTGTATGGAAGGAATTATATTGTAGCTTAAATCAGCATCTAGCCTATTGTTTTGTTGCCAATGAGTCCTTTAGTACAAAACAGGAATGTCTCTTAGTTGTTGTTACTTATGCTTTTTCTGACCATTAAATTTTTAAAATCTCAATCTAATTCTACAGAGAGAACTCCATTTAGAGGAAGCACTGCTTTCTCTGACTTCTACTATTATTGTGTATCTGTTCTTTAAATGTAAATACCAGTAAATGCTTGTTGTATTGTATTTTCTTTGACTATCTCGTTTTTTCTAACTAAGCAGTATTTATACTTATACAGAGCCTTTCAGCTATTCGAAAGTATCAAGCTTAGTAGTTATTGTTGGGTTAAAACCAAAGGTGCATCTTCAGTATTTTTTTCTACAAGGGCCTTGAAGTTATAAGTGCAGCAACAGATGAACATTTGTTTTGATGTCTGAATACAAGTCTTTATACTATTATCTTTGAAAGTTCTGTGTTTCAAGGGTGTCTGCCTTCTCTGTTTTTGCCCCTGTAGTGGGCTAAGATTGTATGAATTTGCTGTCTGAAGAGACATGTGTAGGTATTTAGTCTCAGTAGTAAGGGAGTCTGTAAAATTAGTGCAGGGGTCTTTAGCTGGGTAGTTCTCTGACCTGTCTTGGTGCATAGCTAGTGTGCTGCATTTCTGGTGATGTAGCATTATCCTTTGGGAAGTCTGGTACCTTATTTAGAAGGAGAAAAAGATTAAAAAATAGCTTTATGTTTGTATGTGTGATCACCTCTTGTATTCTGAGGTAACGTTGCACAAATTCTTGCAGCAAATGGGACTAAACTGCATACCACAAAGATGTTATTGTTGCCTTGCACTTTCTTCATCGTTTGCTGTCTCAGGTTTTAAGTATCTGGAGATTGGAAATGCGTGCAAGCAGGGCTTGGCTAAGGATGAGTTACATAATGCTGTGTGCTGTTCCAGGCAGGACCAGTGCAGTACTGCAGAGTGGCCCTTTGCGTGAGAGGAAACAAGAGTTGTAATGTGAAGTGTTGCAATGTTTAATTTTTTAATGTAATGTTGAAAAGATAGTCAGGGTCACTCCTGTCTTTGGACTTTTCGTGCTATTTACAAACCAACTGGTGGCAGCATATTTCATGCTGCTGTTGCTGCTGAAGGTCCTTGTAAAACAAAACTAACTTTTGAATCCTTTTGTGTGCTTGATACAGGAGTCTGGTGTTTTTCTATATTGCCAGGTCAGCCTGTTCTCAACTTTAAGCCTAATATATGGCTGTCATTCACTCCTTACCATGAAATACTCTTATAAAATGTAATTTGATTTCTGAAAGGAGTAGGAGGCCCATAGGAATACTGTGGCTGACACTGTAATGTTGTTTTATTTCACGCCTCCTTGCCCTGAAGCACTGTGCTACATGATAAATTTAACATTAAAAAGTGATATATAGCCTGATCTTGTAATCAGCTGTTAATGTGGGTTAGCAAGGAGCAACTTTTGCACAGGGCCAGTTTGAAGGTACTTTTGCTGTCTTCACCTTCAGGCATACTGTTATAGCAGTTGAGGGGAGGGGAAAAAAAAAGGGGAGGGTCACAAAACTCCCAAACTTGTGATCTGAAATGGAACAGCTGATGCAAGTCTGCACTGGGGTGTAAACACTGAGGCTTCTACACCTGCCTGCCCAAGGCATGTTGCTGACATCCTTGCTCTCAAGGTATCTATTTGTGAAAACAGGTTTGAGAGGAGAGGATGTTATGATTACTGTTTAATGCTATATTAATTTAACTTTAAGTAATTGTCAGTTGCTACTCCGCTGTTCGAAGCACTATATTATTTTTGGCTGTTTAAAATATGGAAAAGTTACAACCTCAGTTAATTAGCAAGAGCTGTCACATGCTAATTGGCAATGCTGATGGAAATTAACTTCATCTGGCCTGCTTGACTTTCAGTACACCTGGTGTATATTGCTTGTCTTGTCATGTTTCAGTAGACTATAACTGCTTCTGCTGAAGAAAGGCCAGTTTGTTTCACAATACTGTATGCTGTTATAGAATAAAGATCTACAGTAAAATGAACAATAATGAACACTGGAGTAAATATTGCTTTTTACCATTTTTTAGCATATAGAAGATGCCAACAAAAAGAAACAATCTGATAGTTTTAACTGATACAAATCAATCTACCAGGACTCCACTGTGGTGCTGTAGAAAAGGGAGGACAGGGTAGTTTAGGGTCCAGTTCCACCCAGAAAAGTCCAGAATTTGTGGGCACTGACACTGGAATTCCATTAATGCAGAATTAGTTTACATTAATAAATCTACTTTTCTTGTTTGAATATGTGCATGGACAGATTCATACTGTGAAAACCCAGAATAGGAGTTACGTGTCTGTATTGATTATGCTTAGTTTAAATGACGACTGTCCATTTAAAAGGACACAATATATACAAAAAATAATTGAGACTAACTTTTATGTAAGCAGGTAACAGTGTAAGAAGAATACAGAAAGTACAGGTTCTGATTCTAGCTTGGAATAGACCTCTGTTGCTGCTTTTTCTCAACTTCTGTACTAATGTAGGTATATGATACAGTAATAGATAAGGAATAGTTAAAGAGTTTTTTTCTAAATACAACTCATTTGTTTGGGAAAACTTCCTTGCTATTCTATGAAGGAAACCTCACACTAGTCAAAGCAGTAGAACAGATATGATTTGACTCTACTGTAAACAACTTCAGTATGTACCTACTTTCTTACATAATATGTTTAAAATTACTACTGACTACAAAATACTTTAAGCAGTAAAACTGAAACTTCTCAGTATTTTTGTCCTCGTCCCCTCCCCCCCACTTCCCAAGTTATAAACTCATTGAATTGTATGGCTTCCAAAGTTGCATGTTCTGTACTGTCAGTCTGTAGTGTGTACAGGTTCTTACCGACCTGGTGTAAGGCTTAGAATGCCTTGTAAATCTGATCACTTACTATTCACAAAACAGTTAAGAATCTTTGCAATGTGAAAATGATCTGTTTACAAATAGAGCGGAGACATTTTGTGTAAAAGTTTAGAGTGATATGACAAAACTGAGTCTGTTACAAGATCAGTACTTGAAAAACAGCTTGTGGCTCAAAAGCAGAGGAAGAAATGGGACAGTATGCTGGGAAGGGGGTGTAGTCATCCATAAGGATAGAATACAAGTGGTTTTTACTGTGAGTTTATTTTTTAAAGCTTTAAGGGGTCTGTGAAATGCGTTCTGTCTTCAGTTATCTGGAATGATGAAAATCTGAAATGTTTAACATTATTTTTCAGCTATGCTGAGTGTAGATGAGAGACCTAGAAGTCCTTATTTCAGTTCTGGTCTGAACTGAAATCTGAATTTGAACTCAAATTTCTGTTGCCTGCAGCAGGAAAGGCAAGCTTTCAGCAGCTCTTTCTAAAGGATCATTGTCAAAGTTCACCACTGAGAAAGAAACCTTATCATAGGGACACAAAAGAAATCTCTGCCTAGCATTGTCAAATGCAAGTAGTTTGAGAGAGAGCAATGTTTGGAAAAAAAAAATAAAAATTCATACAAACATATGTCTGTTCAGAAGGGAGGCTGGCTGTTTATTTCTTTTATGGACAGACAAACTTTTGCAGACATAATAATTGGAGAGAACAATTGCTCTTCAGCTTTCGGTGTGAAGCTGCAAGCTGTAGCAGCTGGCCTGTAATGTGCTGGTTTTTTCGTGGTTTTTCTGTTTTTGTTTTTAAAATCTGGGGGTAATATTTCCTTATTTTCTTGAAGCCATATGTAGGTATGAAAGACTATGTAGGCTGTTGCTGTTATTAATGTTAATTATTCTCTACGTATTTAAATAATTTCTCTTAGAATATTATTGTGTGTAATAAAGCTGGTTTTGGCTATATTTGAGAGAGATTTAATTGTCTTCTTGTTATGTTTCTGCTATCTTTAAGTATTTTCTTTCAATCTCCTCTCTTCCTCTTTCTCTTTGTTTTCTGCTCCCATTTTGTGGTTAGTAGGCAGGAGTCTCTATGAAGATTTTTGTGAAAACAAGTTCTTAAGCCATCATCCTTGGAAGATCTTGGTACATTGCCTTAAATGGCTACAGCACCTGCTGACAAGGACAAAAGGATTGAGGCTGAGATCAGTTAAAGCAGATAAAAGTCACGAGATGCTGTTCTGATTTAAACTGAAACAAAACACTACATTATTCTGTGGAATTTTTAATAAAGAAATGTTTCTATTGGTTCCATGCTTTTTTGTTTATAGTTTGTCTAAGCTTCCTCTGAGAAACATAATGAAAAAGGCAAAATGCCAGAAACACCTTGATGAACGTTGATGCTAATTTTTCTGCAATTATTTTTGACTAAAACCTCTTGCTCATTGTAATCAGCTTTTCTATGGCTTGTCTTCTATGTCTTGCTATTGATTTTTACAAAACTTAAATATAATTTAACTGACTTTTTCTGCTAGTTCATAACTGGACTCAAGAGGACACTCTTCAGTGGCTGTCAGAATTTGTTGAACTGCCCCAATATGAAAAGAATTTTAGAGACAGCAATGTCAATGGGACAACACTTCCCAGGTGAATGTTTCTTCTGAATTAGCTTCAAATAATTCCCTGTAGGTTGCTGCTTTGGTCTGTATGTAGAAACAACTATGTGAGCCCAAATTCTAACAAGATATGTGGGAAAAGAGAAGCGTCCTGGCAGTTTTGAAGAGCTAGCTGCATTTTTTTGCTGCCAAAAGACTTCAAAATAGAAATGCTTCTTGCCACTCCTTTCATCTTAGTTGTGCTTCATGCTGTCAAAGCTTTTATCAGTAATCACATAAATCTATATGGTAGTGTTTTGGACAACTTCCAATCTATTATGTGGGTATGCATGAAAAACTATCTGCAGAACCCTTTTATTGAGGATAACTACTAAATTTGAGTGTTGTATGTATTTCAGAGAGTTGGTGTCATAAGTCTGCAAATATGCCATTACCTTTAACTATGCCAAATGGATTTATTTAGTGGTTATTCCAGAAAGAAAACAGGAAAATGATTTGATGTTCTTCCTTTGCCACGTGCTGATATGCTTTTTTTTTTGCTTCATAGCACTACTGTCATTGTATCATATCTCTCACTCTAATTGCATAACTACAATCTAGATAACTGTGGGAAATACTACTGATGTATTTCTTCCCATACACTGGTTTTGAATATAGCTTGTGGAATAGGTAACATTTTGTTTTATCATTAACAGGATAGCAGTAAACGAACATGCTTTCATGATCTCTCACTTGAAAATAATTGACCGGAGCCATAGACAGAAGCTTCAGCTTAAAGCCTTGGATGTTGTTCTATTTGGACCTCTCACACGTTAGTAACTTTGTGAAGTTTTTCCTTATGTCTTATTTGTAAGAATTCAACAGAAAATACTTTGTGACTCTTGATACTGTAGGTAGGACAGCTTATCTATTTTGTGGGTGTACTGATGGATTGCTTGGCGTGCATTGTGGAACTGGGCAATGAATTAAAAAAGGTTATCAAGATGCTGGGATCCGGACAAAAGTCCACCTCTGTGTGTAAGATTGCATTGCAACCCACTTGACAGATGGATGTTGGCTTTTGTGTCACAAGAAGTGTTCTCTAAATGTTTTTGACTGTTTAAATTACATTTATAGCTAATGTTACATTCACTTCCCAATTAGGTTGGACAGTGTAAGCTGGGCTGCTGAAATGAGGGGATGACCTTCCCCAAGGAAGAATAAAGGAGATGGTGGTGCAAAGCCAATACCAGTGTCTTTTGTGCAGATTGGAGTTTAAATGCAGTTAATTTTAATGCAGCAGTTCTAAATCTGACACATTTTAGCATATGCAGACATTTCCTTACCACATCACCAGTGGTCTGCATTCTTGTGTGTACACGGTTAAGATCAGTTGTAGTACTGTGGAGGCTGGGTATTCCTGAACTAGAAGGCCCTTCCAGAGCTTGGTGGTCAGTTTGAAGAGTGGTCAATGACTGCAAAAGTCACGCCAGTTCAGATCTGGCTGGACTTTTGCAGACTGATCTGAGTTAGCCTGACCAATCTGAGCTGGGAAGTTTTAGAGGAGGGGGAAGGGAAGTCCATAGCCTGTTGTCTGTATCAGTGAACTAGTAATGATCATGTTATTCTCTGCACAGGTCCCCCTCACAACTGGATGAAGGATTTTATATTAACAGTTTCTATAGTTATTGGTTTTGGAGGCTGCTGGTTTGCATATACACAGAACAGAACCTCAAGAGAACATATCACAAAAATGATGAAGGACTTAGAAAGCCTCCAAACAGCAGAGCAAAGTCTTCTTGACTTGCAGGAAAGGTATAAAAAAATTAAAAAGTTAATGTTTATTTGTCATTTTGTTTTGGGGTTAAATACAAATACAGACCTTTTGCAGTCAAATTCTTTGCATAACCTACCTTTGGATTTTATTAATTTTCATTTTGCATGGAAATTTTGATTTCAGTGACAGTTTGTTTTTTTGGTTAGAAGTTGCTCCTGGATATTTTAGCAGGAAATATGAACTTGAGGATGAAGGTAGAGAATTGAGGTTCAGTCTTTTTTACCTGTATATTTAGAGGCATGTACTGTTATTTTCATATAGTTACAGTTTACTTTGGAATACTTACATACATGAAAATTAGAATTTCTCCTGTTTTTAAGCTCTTAAGATTGAAACAGACCTGGACTGATTACTTTCTATTGCTTATTTAGCAGTGTGATAATTAGTAGTCTTCTCTGGTGCACCTGTAACTCTATTGTCTATAAAGACTTGTATTTTGATCTTCATAGACCTTTAAAGAAGATTTACCTGTAAGTTCAAATGTTTTGTCTGATATGAACATCACATTGCGTGGTGTAATTGCTGCTCTTTGATGAAGAATGAGGTTGGAAGGGACTTCTGGAGGTCATCTTGTCCAGCCTCACCTGCTTTAGCAGGATCATCTAGAACAGGTTGCCCAGAACCATGTCCAGGCAGCTACTGAGCAGGTTCAAGGAAGGAGACTCTACCACCTCCCTGGGCAACCTGTACCAGTGCTCAGTCACTACCATGGTGAAAAAGTGTTTCCTTATGTTCTTGTGTTTTGGTTTGTGCCCATTGCCTCTTGCCCTGTTGCTCGACCCATCGTCTCCTGAGGACTGCAACTTTTAACAAATATGCTGTGTATTTTCCCGTATTTTTTTTGTTCAATTGTGAAGGCTTGAGAAGGCACAAGAAGAAAATAGAAATGTTGCTGTGGAAAAGCAAAATCTGGAGCGCAAAATGATGGATGAGATCAATGATGCAAAACGGGAAGCTCATCGCCTAAGGGAGTTGAGGGAGGGAGCTGAATGTGAGCTCAGCAGACTCAAATATGCAGAGGAAGAGTTAGTACAGGTATCTGCAAACTGTTTATAATTTTAGTGTTGACATTTAATTGGTTCTGGTTTTATTAGGTCCTTATGAGTATTTAAAGCAGCATTTATCTAATGCTAGATTTGAATGGAAAAATTCTAAGACCACTTAATGATTGTCTGTCAATCATGCCGTTATCTAGTAAAATAATCCTGAAACTATAAAAAGACATGTACTTTGTATATTAGCTTATGATAATGTTGTTGGATTCATGAAACAAAATATACGAAAATGCTTTTTTTTTTTCTATCTTGTTATCAGATGAGAGACAGTAGCTTAATCTCATTCTTCTGAGTAGCAATAGATTGGATTTATTGTACTGAATAAAAATGCAGTCTCACAAAAATACTTAAGCTTCAAATTAGGGACTATATATAATGGGAAAAAAATTTTGAGTATCATATAGTACATGAAAATTCATATACTGTATTTCAGAGATGCCTGATCTGCCTTCCTGACAGCAATTGGCACACACCAAAGCTCTATATAGCCTTAATATGTTCCTGTGGGGTATAACGATGCTTATATTTCACTTTCTTTTGCTGTCAGTACTAATGATACTCTTGGTGGCACTTTTATTTCTTTTTGGTTGCTAGGTTCGCATGGCTTTAAAAAAAGCTGAGAAGGAGTTTGAGCTGAGAAGTAATTGGTCTGTTCCTGAAGCTTTGCAGAAGTGGCTTCAGTTAACACATGAAGTAGAAGTACAGTATTACAATATCAAAAGACAGCATGCAGAAATGCAATTAGCAATCGCCAAAGATGAGGTACTAACTCTTACTCTTCAGCTACATAAAGACATTTCTGATCTGTTGCTAAATATATGAAATGGTAAATACAAATTACTCAGATAAGCATTTGGAAATTCTTTTCTCCTCTGAGTTGTTTGCTACCTGTCGATGTTGCTAATGTTTTGTCATCTGTGTTAAGTATATAACTCTGTATATAAACTTCCATTTTATCTTGCTTTTTAGGCAGAAAAGATAAAAAAGAAGAGAAGCACTGTATTTGGAACATTACATGTTGCACACAGCTCTTCCCTAGATGAAGTGGACCAGAAAATCCTTGAAGCAAAGTAAGAGTATTACCAGGATGCATATTCTTTTGTGATTATTTATTCCTGGAACAGTGGAATTTTTTGAGAGTTACGGAATTTAGTGTCTTAGTGTTTTTGAACTTTTAAGTAAAACAGTTTAAAAGATATTAAAGTGCTAAAATTTGGACAGTCCTAATGGATCTTCTTGTATGCTAGAATTACTTCACTTGTTTTGATTTGCTTTGCTTTATTAAGAACAATATATGTAATTTTAATGTGTGCTTCTCTTCAGGAAAGCACTCTCTGAGTTGACGACATGTTTGCGAGAGCGTCTCTATCGATGGCAACAAATTGAGAAGATTTGTGGTTTTCAAATAGCACACAATTCTGGGCTACCAAGCTTGACCTCCTCTCTCTACTCTGATCACAGCTGGGTAGTTATGCCTCGAGTTTCCATTCCTCCTTACCCAATTGCAGGGGGAGTTGATGACTTAGATGAAGATACTCCTCCAATAGTTTCACAATTTCATGGTAAGTGAAAACAAAGAGGAAAAGTTGTGGAGGCATGGGATTTTAAAGTCAGGTGGGAGGACTGTGCTGAAATAAAACAGGATTGCATCAGAGTCAAAAGGACCAAAATTCTATCCAGCATTTCAGATGCATCTTTTGGGATTTGCATAAACTGAAAACTGGGTTTTGCAATAAAGACAACATGAAGAAAAAGCCTTTATTCTGTTTCAGTGAGGGTATGGGGGGCATATCCAGCTTTTGAAAAGGGGGAGGGGGGGTGTATCTAGGTTTTGAAAGTCTGCTTGTCATACTTGGATTGCCACTTAGAAAATAATTAGTAATGCTGATTTTTTTTTCTTGTTGTTAGAACATTCATTTAGATGGAACGGATGGAGTTAGTCTAGGGTCCCTTGAACTACTAGGAAAATCACACCCTTTGAGAGGCTGCATGCTACATAGCTTTTCAAACATTCTTTAGTGGCTGGAACAAAATCTTGTTGTCCAAGGGAAGCTTTCAGGCAGAATGTTTCTGTTTGGTTGTTTGAATATGAGGCAGAGAGGCCGAGTGCTGGAGGGAGGGATATCCAGCTTTGGTTATACTATGATAAAAAAAAAATACACTGGGGATTCAGACCACCCTTGTGTCTTAAATCATTGCATCAATACAAGAGCTTATTTCATGGAAGTTGTGATTAACTGGACTCTAGAGGCAAATCAATAAGATGAGCTCCCATGTAGCTATTCAAACAAGCAATATCAAGCTGAGAAATGAGTAGGGAAGAAAACTTTGTCATATGTATATATTTTTCTTCCAGGGCTGGAATTCTCAGAAGAAACTAGATCTATACTTTAAAATGCCATAAGGAGAATAGCTGCCACTTTGCTGGTTTCATTTAGTATGTCTTGTGCACACATTTTTCTTCTGAATGTAGCAACCTTTTTTCTACAGGCCACATTGAAAACTTCATTAATCCCTTTGCAACACTAATTACTGCAAGTTCTGATCACTTTTAGAAAATACTGTCTCTCTAGTCATCTTCAGTGTGAATTCAGGCAGAATGCAGTGTGCAGACAGGTTGGTTATGAGTAGGACTGTGTCAGTCTTTTTACCTAAACTGGGCCGTTACCTTGTCCCAGCATCCTTTGATCTCTTAAGACTGACAAAATTTGAAGTCTGCCAGACAGCTTCTTTGTGCTGCAGCAATTGGGATGATAGGCTAAAATGGTGTCTAGTACTAGATCTCTTTAATCAATCCTGAGCTGAAGAGCAAAATGAGATAAAGAAATAGATGTACGAGACCAGAACGAAGTTATTATGAGAAGGTGAAACTTCTGCTTTTCCATTGACTGATAACGATTCAGCACATTCCTTGATTTAGTGAGTTTCATTTGTACTAGAAAATTCTAGATGTTAAATTGTCATAGCTGAAACCTTCATAATCCCATGTATATACACCTACAGGAAACCAACGGGCTTGTAATGTCTCTCAAAATTCACTGATTCACTTGTTATTTTTTACACCAGTGAGTACGATGGCATATGCTTTACCTGGACACACAGTACAATTTTCCTAAAGGGAATCCTCTTATCTCAGTTCACATTTGCTTTTTTTAGTAATATTTTTGTAATGACACAAGCTTATTTTTGAGCTGCCAAGACCTGCTTTTCAGGTCAGTAGAGAGTTCATCAAAAGTAAAATCAGAAGTTTGTGTTACATGGCAACTGTCATCTTGGAACTTACAAACCTTTCTTTTCAGCCCGGCAGGAAAGAAAAGTCTGAGTGTTTGCAAAGGTGCAGTTACTTGCTGTTTTCTGAAAGTTGTGATTTCCTGCACTAAAAGCAGAATGACAGCTCAATCTTTTCTGAGGTTCCAGGAAGGGAAACTGTCATTTACCTGTTGTTGAACTGGCATCTTAAAAAATAAAATGCATTTTGTCAGCCTAGACATCCTTGTCTACAAAAATAGGGTGTTTTTTTTGGTGGTGGTCTTTGTTTTTGTTTTTTTTTGTTTCTTTGTTTTGTTTTTGTTTCTTTGTTTTGTTTTTGTTTCTTTGTTTTGTTTTTGTTTCTTTGTTTTGTTTTTGTTTCTTTGTTTTGTTTTTGTTTCTTTGTTTTGTTTTTGTTTCTTTGTTTTGTTTTTGTTTCTTTGTTTTGTTTTTGTTTCTTTGTTTTGTTTTTGTTTCTTTGTTTTGTTTTTGTTTTTTTTGGTGTTTTTGTTTTGTTTTTAGTGCATTGTATTTGGTAAATGTTTTGAATATCCGTAAGGGGATGCTCTGTCTTAACTACACAGTGATGCATTTTGTGGGACAGTTTGAGGAGGGATATGAGAAATCCTGAAGCTTGTAACAGCTAGCCTGAAAACAGGTCTGTAGGTTTATTTACATAGAAGTGTTGCTGCCTAATCATCTTTTGAAGGAGGAATTGGATTAGGAACATTTTAGTTTGTCACTTAGTTTGCTGTCTCCACCTGTTATTAGTATTTTTGTTTCTGGAAATTCATAGTTAACCTGGCAAAAGAATGTGTTACCAAATTGGAAATTTTGAGCTTAAAATGACATTGAATTACCTATTTTCTATAAAGGTGTGTATATATACAATTAGTCTTCCATGTCTAACATAACTTTCAGCTAATGCAGTGTGTTTCAGTTGGCTGTTTGGTTATGTATACCTAAGATACAAAACTTTTATATATTCTTTTAAGCTCCAAATTGCCACACAAGTAAAATACAGGGTATTGTGTAACATACTATTTTCAGCACTGCTATTTTTAGTTTATAAAGGGACAGAAGTTTCAGTAGACTCTTTCTCTTTGTTCTCAAGAGAGCATGCTGAGCCAGAGCTTTGGTGGTCGGCGTAATATTTGGCAGGTACAAAACTGCTGCATTTGCATCTTGATTAGCTGCTTCATCTAATCACAGAATGTATAAGGTGATGCTAGTCTTTCTTCCCTCTTAACAATTGAGCAATGTCAGATATCTGCTATTTAGTCTTCAGAGTAGATATTGTTAACATCAATGTCACTTGGAGGGTTTTGGTTTGCTTTTTCTTTGCCTCAGGGTCCATTGTAAAACCTCCCAGCACACTGGCAAGAAGCAGTAGCTTGTGTCGATCAAGACGCAATGTTGTACCATCATCTCCACAGTCTCAGCATGCTTTGCACTCCCCTGACCCTGACATCCTTTCTGTGTCAAGCTGCCCAGCTCTTTATCGAACTGAAGAGGAGGAGGAAGCCATTTACTTCTCTGCTGATAAACAATGGTATGGAGATTAGCAAAGAGCACGTGGAACTCTGATAGGCTTATTTGAGACTAATGGTTTAGAATTAGAGGTTGAACCAAGCCAAAAGTTAAAAGTAATCTGAAGGATAATGTAAATTAATATAGTCCACATGGAACCGAGAGAGTTCTTGTCTGAGATGTGTATGTAAATAGCTAACATGTCATAGACAGTTAAGTAATGTTACAATCCAGGGTGCACTGAACTAACCCTGATTCTCCATTGCAATATGTTACTGGCTTTTACATCTGAAACTAGGATCAAAAGCAATGTCAGCTACTGGGCGAAGAGAAGATGGATGGTAACACAATTCTTACAGCATGTTGAGCGTGTACCTACTCTTGTTACATGGCCTCATAGGAAAAGGTTAAATTCCTTTTGGAAGGAGCAAATGAGCTTGTTGAAAGGTAGGGACACTTGTCCTGAAGAAACTTTCTGTATGTGATAGGCTTAAATCTCCTCCTTTCATTTCATAACTTTTCTGACTTCATGTGCCAGAAAGATAGTTTTTGTTCTTTGAAGTGAGATACAGATAACTGATTCTGGGCAGATGCTGCTGCCCACAAAAACAAGATCACCTGAATTAATTGTCTTAAGTTAATAAAATGATGTAATGCAAGTTGTAAGTTAAAATGTTTAACTTAATGGGTTTTTTTATTAATTAACTACTAAGGAAAGGTGTGGGTGGTGCTTTTAGACTAACGTTATTGATTCTAAGTTAATTTCCTTTTTAACAGCGTGACGGAAATAGTAGTTTCATCATGTTTTCTCCTCTCTTTGCTCTGACTCAGGGAAGTACAGGAAACAGGTTCGGAATGTGACTCCTTAAATTCATCCATTGGAAGGAAGCAGTCTCCTCCAGCAAGTCTTGAGATGTACCAGACACCTTCTCCTCAGAAAGTATCCCCGGAAGAATTCTCACTGGAGGAATCATCTACAGGAGACTCCTCTTCTCTAACTGCAGATATTTCTAGGGGCTCTCCTGACTGTGTAGGCATGGCAGAAACTAAGAGCATGATCTTTAGTCCTGCAAGCAAAGTTTATAATGGAATCCTGGAGAAGTCCTGCAGCATGAACCAGCTTTCAACTGGGATCCCAGTCGCAAAGCCTCGGCACACCTCATGCTCTTCAGCCAGCAGTGATAGTAAACCCAGCCATGAAGCTGCTTCTGTCCCTAGGATAAGTAGCATCCCACAGGACCTGTACCAAAATGGTGAAAAAAACAAAAAGCCATCAAAAATAAAAAGTCTCTTTAAGAAGAAGTCTAAGTGAGGTGGGCAGGAGAAACCTATAGTAATGTTATAAGAACTCTGTTTTTTAACTCTTTAAGAATGTAATTCCATTTGAGCATTCCAGACTGGATGCCCTAATGGAATGCTCTGTAGGTCAACTATATTTAACTGACTGTACTGTCAAAGGTCGTGCCAGCTGTCAATGAGAAATCATTAAAAAGTTCAGACAGTTTACATTCATTTCTGCCTATTTATTTCTTTTTTAGTTTGTCTCTTTTTTTAGTTTTTTTTAATTACTGTATTATTTTGTTTTGTTGGTTTGGGGTTTTTTGTTTTTGTTGAGTTTTTTTGGTTTTTTTGTTTTGTTTTTTTTAGTTTATTCATAAACCATTTTAAGCCACTTTGGACTTCTAAGCTTTAATGGACTAGTAAGCCTTCCTGGGCTGCCAAAGTTTCTTGTTTACTGGAGCATCTTCCTATCTTTCCATAGAGTTAGGACACTTATCTACTGGACTTTAAGAAAAATAAAAGAAGTAGAACTAATTGAATTGCACTACTGTTTTACAGACTGGAAAAGTCTCTCTGCAAGTGAAACTGAAAGACTTGTATTTGACTGAGAAGATGAATCTTTCCACTTTTAGATCTTTTGGGGTTTTTAAGTAGAACTTAGGATTTCTAATTGACTTGATTTCTGGAAATGGAAATGCCATGCTTTTATTATGGGAAGCTTTGTTAGATTCATTTATTATTAGAATGGTTCAAGTCCTGCTGTAAAGATCATGTTTTTCCCAGGACTTTCACTGTGATTTTACTTCACTGCAGGCTGTATGACAAAAAAAAAAGAGTAATGTATACAAGAGAAGAGGCTCTTGATTCCTTATGCAAGTGATGGATATAAAACTTGACTGAGGACTGAAAATATTCACTCTCTTAAAATGAGAAGGGACGATAGTAGCTTTTGTTTACAGACTGGCAGACAATGGACATTTGGTTCGTGAAAGTTTGTACTGTGGTAAAGATGAATTGGAAACATTGTTGTGCTTGGGAATGTTCCAATTTTAGCTGATGCTTGTTTCAGAGGTCCTGTTAATTGAAAGCTGTTGTAGGCTATATTGCTTATGCTGACTGCTGTGTATAAGTTGTTGTTATATTTTTTGGATTAGCTATTAATGTCTTAATGTCCTCCTTTTGTAAGATTTCCTACACTTTATTTTTGTATAGTTTGAAGACTTAGCTGTTCAGACATGTCTGAAGTAAATGGTATAATTTTATAATGCATACTGGTATACTAACTCATAATTTTAGATATAAAGATAGATATAAAGGTGAGACTCAGAAAGCTTCACATAAAAGCAGTTTTTATGTTAAGCTTTTGTAGGGAGAGATGAAATACAAGGTAACAAGGAAGCCTTCTTAGGGCAACAGTAGCTAGTTGTTCGAAAACATTTTTATTTTTTTTAAACAGTTGGAGACAACAAATGTACTGCTTGAGTAACAGTGCCTTTTATTCAGTTTGTCTGAAAATATTAATACTAAGCAGGAAATTCTTTTGAGGTACATTCCAAAGAAATACTTCTTGCTTTAGTGAACACAAGCAATTTACCCAGTGATGACTAAATAATTTCAGCTCTTCCATAGGGGTATTCTGATTGCCTCAGTAACAGGTGCCACTGCCAGGGACCTGTAATTAGGGGCTCACTTCTTTCCAATATGTACATGCTGTACTGTATGAAAGAATTAATTCACTGACTGCCTAATTTTTTTTTCCTAGTAAGGAGCCTTCAAAACCTGTAGCTAATCGAAATCAAGAAATACATGTATTTTCTATAATTTTCTATTTAGGTTCCACTGTACGTAACCAATGTGTTAGTTCTGTCCTCAAAAAGTGGTAGTGATGTTAACAGAAGCATTTACTGTGGCTATTGAAACGGTTAGAAGAGTTAGAAAATGGGATGGACACATTACATGTGCAAGGACCTTAAAAGTCCTGGTACGTTGATTAAATCCTTGAGAACAGAAAGAATCCAGAGTTTTACTGTCTAACAAAAAATGATTGTATGTCATCTATACAGAAAAGTATAGGAGGAATCAACTGGTAAAGTTTGGAGAAGAGAAAAAATGGCAAAATATGAAATAATGAGAATATTATATTGTTCCATTATTCTCTGAATCATCAGAGAATCATTGAACAGTCATCATAGGTAATAATGGTCTCCTTGAACAGAAAATGTACACTCTACATGGTAGACAGAAAGCCACAGTGATGCAAAATGACTTCAGAGTTGTAGTTAAAAGCCTGATAAAGTACTTGAACCATGTACAAAGGGAAAAAAAAATACATTAAGGTAGGGAACTTATTTTGACTCCCAGACAGTGTGAAGAAGACTACTACCAGAAAAATGTTCAATTTTGATATCTGCCCGTGAGAAGGCTGTAGCCGTAGTTGAGTTTAAAGTAAGATCTGTGGCTGCATAGGAGATCTTGCAGTGTGAGGTTTGAGGAACTCTGTCTCTATCATTACCAAAGAAGATGAAGCAACATTTTGATACTGGAGAGTAAATATTTACACATGGGGAAAAAACTATCTGGTACTGAGGAGCAGAGCACAGTACTTTTTAATCCAAAGTCAGGCAAGCTGAGGAGCCAAAAGAGACAAATTCCGTTTTTCTGTAGTAAGTATAACTAAAAATTGAAATAGAGGAGATGGTGGACTCTGTGTTTGCTGTGAGTTTAAACGTTAAGTATCTTTTTAAAATGCACAAAATAACTGTCTTTTGAGAAAAAAAGAAGTCATGGCATTGCACAAACAAATTGGATGAGATTATCATAATGATAGATTTTTACTTCAAAATGGCAAACCGTTGGGGCACAGACTGCTCTCGGCACTCAGTTTATCACCAGCTGTCCTGTACCTTTACAGCTTCTACTTAATAAAGATTATAGAACTAAAAGCTTAAGTTAATAAGATCAGAAATGATGAGTATTGTATGTTAGAGCACAAGCTGTAATTTTAATTTCATAGAGGTGGGGTTTTTAATTATTTTAATAGACCCCTTGCACATCTTGCCATGTAAATTTGTCCACAGTCTAAGTAAGTGACTTGCACTGCTACTACTATGGCTACTGTAGAAATGCTCGTCTTCAAACTGTTAGCGTGCTTTTGCTAAGTTTTATTGAGAGTGCTGACTCTAAGGCAGATCCTCACTGGCAAACATCAAATCCGGTCTTAATGCTGAAGTACCTGGCATATATCAACATCTCAGAAGTGAGAAAATGTGAGAAGATGATCTTTGCTTTCTTAAATGTTTTGTTAAGAGTCCTTTGTCAGGACAGCAGCCCCTTTGTGGAAACTACCTAAAAGGCTTCTCTCTGAAGAGGTTCCCATTTAAGTCTTTCACTTGTAAAAAGAGGAAGTGTCAAACATGTGGTTCTGCATAAAGAAGAAGGAAAAAAGCCCAACAGTTCTTCCAAAACTGAACAAACCCAAAACTTCCCACAATTCTTGCTAAAGCTATGTGACACTTACAGCATGAAAACCTTAGGAAAGGCATTTCTGGTTGCTGTGAGGAATGCTTTTTTCCAGCTTACATTGGACTTTGAGATTAAAACTCTTGATTCTTTTTCCCTGCTTAGTGATGGAATTTAAAATTGCTCATTGGCAATTGCAGGCATATGTCAACTTTTCTTTTCCCATTTCACTGGTACCTAGGTAGCACATTACCCTCCTCTTTCTGATGGGAAGCTTGCTGAAAGAGGGATGATTCTCCGTCACAGTCAAGGTAACCATGTTATAGTAAGAATACCATTCCTCATTTGGAAGCCTTGGAGGTGGTGAAGCCAAGGATACTTGACTTCAGTTTTCTTATGATATTTATGGATACCAGCTTGAGTTAGGCATTAACTTATGACTTATCAAAAGCCCCAAAAGATAAAATTAATTAGAAACTGAAGCTTTCAAGATTTTGCCTTTTTGCTTCCTGATATATGGGAAAACAGCATGCACAGGAGAGAGACGTGCTCTAATTAGCATTTCTCATACCACCAGTTTTTCAAGATAGTTTCATTCTATTTCCAAGGTAGGTTGCTGGAGAGGGATTCCTACCTTAATTTTACCATGTATGCAAAGAAGCATTTAATTTTATTTACTTCCAAGCAGGGGAGAAGAATGTAAATAAACTCAATGCTGAACTCTAAAAAAAAAATTTAAAAAAATTACTTTTTTAAAAGCGAAATAGAGGAATTACTGGTTCTTGGACCTCTTTATTTGCTTACCTCTTTATACAGTATGTTAAGTAAGGTGAATACAGTTTTCTAACCTATTCCAGTTGCACTGACTGAAGTGATGCATTACTGTCTCATATTTGAGACACTGCTCTGAATTGCTGTAGGCATTTTGATCCTGGATGTTGCATCTTCATTGAATAATGGTGAAGCCTACCAAGGCTGTTTGATTCCAAATGCTGGTAAAGTTTTCTACTAGTGACTTAAACATGGATGTTGGTCTAACCAGTAACCAAAAAGGCTTTTGCCAGTAGAGTTTGACTGCATGTAAATGTTTGGATAACCATTCTTTGAGGCTTCAGTAGCAGTTCAGCAGTGTCATACGCATTTTCAACAGATAGCTTTCCCTTCAAGGCCTGTAGAGATGGTGCTGATCTGAAACTCCAATTACTGCTCTCTTGCATAAAGCACTGCTTCATATAAATTGTAACCATATTAACCTTTAAACTGTTATTCCCAGTTGTTCTTGCATCTGACACTACTTAAGTGAGATGGCAGTACTTGTCAGTCCACTTCAGTCTTTCAGAAATAAAATGGATTTTTGTTGCCTTTTTTCCTCTACAACTTTGAGTCTCAAGTTTACTAAATTGTGTGTGTGTTCTGTGTATTTAATGTTTCACTGAAATGAAAGTGGGAAGGTTGATCTCTGCTTACATGTTATGGAAAGCACATTCGAGCAGGGTAAAAAGTAATTATTCTTGCTCATTGCAGAAGATGAAAAAGAGTTTAAAGGTATTTCATCTGCTCCTAAGTCAGAAGGCTAAGGAATGTTGACAAATTACATTGCTGGAGATAAGAGGTACATTCAATCTCAAAGCTTTCAGATTAGGATCTCTTTATCTAAGAAAAAATCTTCCTTCTTTAGATGCTAAAGAAGTGCATCTGCAGAGACGCACTCTGCAGGGCATTCATTACCTTCATATTTCTAATGCATTTTTGACCCAGCATTAAATTT